TTACAAGAAGCCCAACCATGTGTATAAGTTGAAGAAGGCATTGTATGGCTTGAAGCAAGCACCTCGAGCATGGTATGAGAGATTGAGAGATTTCTTACTCTGTAAAGGGTTCATCATGGGAAAGGTTGACACTACTCTATTCACCAAGAAGATTGACAAAGACTTGTTTGTGTTGCAAATCTATGTTGATGACATCATATTTGGATCAACTAATCAAGATTATTGTGATGAGTTTGGCAAGATGATGGCTAAAGAGTTTGAGATGTCCATGATTGGAGAACTTAGTTACTTCCTTGGTCTTCAAATCAAGCAATTGAAGAATGGTACATTTGTGAGTCAAGACAAGTACATCAAAGACATGCTCAAGAAGTTTAGCATGGAAGATACAAAGGGCATTAGTACACCAATGGGGACAAATGGAAGCCTAGATAGTGACAAAAGTGGCAATATGGTGGATCAAAATATGTATCAGTCTATGATTGGAAGCTTACTCTATGTGACTACATCAAGGCCGGATGTCATGTTTAGTGTATGCATGTGTGCAAGATTCCATGCCTCACTAAGAGAAAGTCATTTGAAGGCAACAAAAAGAATATTAAGGTACTTGAAGCATACACAAGATGTTGGTTTGTGGTATCGCAAGGGTGCGAGGTTTGAACTTGTTGGATATTCTGATTCGGACTATGCTAGAGACAAAGTTGAGAGAAAAAGCACATCGGGCACATGTCAACTATTGGAAAGATCACTTGTCTCATGGTCATCCAAGAAGCAAAATAGTGTTGCACTTTCAACCGCGGAAGCCGAATACATTGCCGCCGGTAGTTGTTGTGCACAAATAATTTGAATGAAGACCATATTGAAGGACTTTGGAATCAAATTCAATCAAGTTCCATTGCTATGTGGCGATGAAAGTGCCGTGAAGCTCACCAACAATCTAGTTCAACATCAAAGAACAAAGTACATAGATATCCGCCATCACTTCATAAGAGATCATCAACAAAAAGGGGACATTTGCGTTGAGAATGTGGGTACCGAAGATCAACTTGCCGACATATTCACCAAGCCACTTGATGAGAAAAGGTTTTGCAAGCTAAGGAATGAATTGAACATACTTGACTTCTCAAATATGTGTTGATGCACCCCACTCATATGACATGCCTTTCCTTCAAGCAAAGTAAGGTAAAATTGATTGACATGTCATTCATCCTTTGCCAAGGACGTGTTTAGTGCATCTAGTCATTCCCATCATGTCTTAGGCTCATTCATGAAAATAAAATGAATTTGATGCTTGTATGGTACCACTATTACTTGTATGCTTGATATGATCTAGTGCTAGCATATGACATGTTTATGGGCTTGTGAACCTAGTGTTTAATCTAGAAAATGAGCTATAAGTGTTAACTCAACATGGTGCATGATAACCCTTCATTAGAGGTGTGAAGAAGCTTGCCCTTGGATCAAACCAAGTTAAATATCTTTTGCAAATGATCTAGATTGAACCAAATTTGGGAAAATGATCATCACTTACAATGGTTTCTCACAATCTATCTAAAATTTGAGCTCACCTTTTGTGGTCATTAATGACAAAGGGGGAGAGAAAGTTCCCAAAGTTTTGCAAAAGAGGGAGGAGAAACATGATAATGAAAAGAAGGGGGTCAATTAAAATTTTGAAGCACACAAGTAGGGGGAGCAAGCTCATGAACTTGAATGGTGCATTTGAATGTGCATAGCATGTGTTTGCTTGCATAAGCATTAGTTGTAGTTTGTTTTTCTCTGATACCTTGCTTGTGTGATGTATGCCAGTTGTAGGTTTGAATGATGAAATGAAGATCTAGCATGCATAGGAAGTGTTACTAGACTAGTGTTTATCATGTGTAAACTAGACCCTCTCGTATAATATTGATCTCACGGGGTTTTCTAGTTTTTGATGAATGTCTAGTTACTATTGGTGCTAAGGATGGTGTTCAAATGGCAACTCCGATTGGTATCGCACTTCAAAGGTCCATTCTTTACACCTTAGCATAATTTGGTAGTCATTGCTCCTAACTTTCCTATCCAAAGCATATGTGTAAGCTTTCAAATCCAAACTCTTAGCACATATGTAGGGGGAGCAAATGCTATCAATTTGGTTTCATAAAACTTGTCCATATACTTTGCACATGGTAAAATGCTTGGGCAAGCAATATGAGGCCAAGAAAATTTTATTGCAAATCTTTGTGAATGGGTTGTCATCAATTACCAAAAAGAGGGAGATTGAAAGTCCCTAGTTTGGTTTTGATTAATTGATGAAACCCTAGTGCTAACCTACGTGCTAAGTGTATGTAGTAAATGGGGTTGGCACATTCCAAGAGGTGGAGCTAGAGGATCATGAAGATGATGGTGATGACCACAAGATGATCAATTGCTCACTTGGAAAAGAAGAAAGAGAAAAATAAAATGGATGCAAGGCAAAGGTATAAGCATAGGGCCATTTTGTTTTGCACTCAAGACACCATAGAGGGTGTGAGTGATTCAGGATTGATAGCCGTACTATTAAGAGGGGAGTCTCATGGTTTGATCGGTTATCAAGTGCCACTAGGTGAATTCATACATGCATATGCATTAGGACCTAGGGTGCACTAACATCACCCTTGAAAAACGCTAACACACATGCACACAAGTTCTACACTTTGTGATTAGCAAGTTGAAAGCAAGAGTGAAGCAGTTCTCGACTTAGAAAAAGAAAAGGAGGAGAAAGTCCACTAACTGGACGCTATGGTCATGGTGACCGGACTCACCACGTGCGTCCAGTCAATTATAGCGAAGCAGCGCAAAAGGCCAAGCGCGCACAGTTGCGACCGGACGCTAACACCGGCGCGTCCAGTCATCTTTTCGAGCGACTAGACTCATGCCAGGTGACGTGACCGAACGCGACGACGTAAAGCAACTTCGCGATGACGTACGATGACGTAAGCTATTCTCGCGCGTGATGAGTTGACCTAACGTAGGGGTGCGTCCGGTCCCCTCTCACCGGACGCGTCCGGTCACGATTTAGGCATTCTGGAACCTCCCTGTTGTGGACCGAACTCTGGTCGAGCTGTGTCCGGTCATTTTCATCAGAGCGTCCGATCGTTCATTAGCGCGTAATCACTGTTGAGATCCGTCGAACGAGGTTAAACACGAAGTAACACGTGGCAGTGATCTAGAGAACGGATGATGGAGGCGTGCGTCCGGTCGCCCTGAAATCTGGGTGAGCTGAGGGCCAACGGCTCTATTTGTTTGGGATGCTTATAAATAGTTGTTGGCCGGCTCATGAGGACCTCTCTTGGCATTTTGATCATCTTGACATCCTCTTGAGCCTAGCACACGCCCTCCAACTCATCTCTCTTGCTTGATTACGAATACAAAGTGAGATTGAGTGAATCCAAGTGCATTTGCTTGTGAGTTTGCATCTAGTGGCTCTTGGGGATCATTTGAGCTGCTTGATTTTTATTACTCTTGGTGGTTGCCACCACCTAGACAGCTTGGAGCAGCGGTGGAGGTCTAACACGTGTTGATGATTGTTCGTGGTCGGCTCCGGTGATCTTGTGACGGGTGTTGTGCCTTCCCCGACGGCGCGCCAAAGGCAACTCTAGTAAATTGCTCGTGTCATTGAGCTACCTCACTTGTGGGTAGATTCTTGCGGTGTCTGTGTTGGATGAGGTTCGTGCTATACCTCTTAGCCGCCGAACCACCAAGTGTTGGTCGACACAACGGGGACTAGCGTGCCGGCGAGCACGTGAACCTCGGGAGAAAATTTTTGTGTCCATCTTGTGATTAATTAGTATTCTCCCAGTGATTGATCTTCATGTTGATTGATTGGTTCATCCCCTTCGCGGCGGTATAAAGATTTCATCTTCTCATTTATATTCCCGCAAAATAATGTAATTAGCTCTCTAGTGTATCTTGCTTGTGTAGCTTACCTTGTTCTAGTTGCTCACCTAGTGTAGCTAGCAGTGACATATCATTTGAGTGATTAAAGATCATAAAGACTAGAATTGATTGGATAGGTGGTCTGCAACCCTTGTAGAGCTAGCGTAAATTGATTTTCGTCGTTTGTCATATTAACCAATTTACTCTAGTGTTTTTGTAGTTTTTAAAATAACTATTCACTCCCCTCTAGCCATATTAGGACATTTCAAGTGGTATCGAAGCCGTGGTCACCGTTTGATTGAAGGCTTAATAACCTCGGTGTTAAATTATGACTCAAATTATGTTCAACCATGTGGAGGACAAACCACATTTCTTTGATGACACTAGTTCATTTGACTATTGTCGATAAGCTCTCAGAAAAAATTCTGGTGGCCTTACCGCCGTTTCATACAGCTATAAGTTGCCTGGGCCCAAAGGCTGACAACTTATAGCTGTTTAAAACGGCTATAAGTTTTTTCGAGTTGCCAAAGTTTTTTCTGAGAGCTTATCGTCGGTTGAAACGGCTATAGTCGGTTCAATCAGCGGTATAGGTCTTTTTTTGAAACAAAATCAGCGGTATAGGTCGAAATCTGCATTTTTTTTTTCAAACCGATATTTATTTAAAGAATCAGAAAATGATAAATAAAAAATAAAAAAATCCAGGCACCACCCTCCTACCAGCGGGCCGAAAGCCATCGCGCTTGGCTGCGGTGCCTGGGCCTTTCGGATTTCGCGCGTGTGGGTGCGGTCCACTTCTTCAACTAACGAACGTGCGAAAGGCAGTGTGCGCCGGACCACGCACCCGCTCGGCCTTTGTCGCGGCCTGGGGCCAATTCGATTTCTGTACAGTTTAGGCCCGCCATTTGGTTTATGCGATTGCGGTCCGCGAGGTTCATTATTGGGCCGAGAATCTGTGTGACGAGGATTTACCTATTTAGCTGTGCTTCCAGAAAACCAAGAGGTGCTACGTCTCAACATCTCATCTCTTCAGAAAAAATTAGGGCTTCCTACCCAGCCGTAGCGGCGGCGGCGATCTTTACCTTGCCCCGTGCTTCATTCAAGAGTGCGAGATGGAGAAGGCGCCCGAGGTGTTGATGAGGGAGGGTTCCAGGAAGAGAGATTGCCCTGATTCTGAGTTAGAATCCCACCAGATCCTAGCACATGAAGAAAAATCCCAGCAGCTCCTAGCACATGAAGAAAAATCCCAGCACATCCTAGCACAGGAAGAAAGATCCCGGCAGTTCCTTTCACGTCTAGCTATCGAGGATGCGTTTTGGGATCATGTGGATGAATCTAATGGGGTACGTCCGGTGAGGACGGACGCGAACCATGCGGAACAGAAACCGTTTGGGTGGAAGGTGGATTTGCCGAGCGTATTGAAGAAGGGGAGGAGGAGGAGGCGGATGATGATGAGGAGGACAACGACGACCCGGACCTCGAGGCCCTCCGATTTCGCAAAAGATGGAGCCGTATATGGTCCCGCCACCACGGATGCTTCGATGACACCAGTAAGTTCTCCATTTTATCTGCATCTATCTATATCCTAATTAGGTTGAGTTTTTTTTTAAATGTATGTAATGAGGTCGACTTTGGTTCGTGATAGGTGTAGTTATTATTCAACAGAAGAAGTACTTATGTCTGATGGGTATTTGATTATGGATAAGATAGGATCAGAGCTAGACCTGTAAACAACAATACTGAAATTTTATCTTAATTCGTACCTGCACATGATGAGTATTGTTCTTCCTGCTACTATTGCTGCTGTTATTGAACTCGATATGAAACTAATCGAAACATCCTACTAAGTGCAGCTCTTGTCCCCCCTATGCGCTATACTGATGAGCCTCCAATTGATAGAATCTACCCTGGCGATACTCTACAGATCTTTTCAGCCATGATTGCAGGAATAGGAGGTGGCTTCCAGTGGCCTCTCTGTGTGTTCGGTCTGGTTGCCATACGCGACCATGTTGATCACAATCGCAATATTATCTTCCAGCGCTCAAGGTCTGAGTGCCAAACCCTCACTAAGGAGGTTTGTAGTAACTCTTTTCATTCATTATTTTGGTTTGTTTGGTGCAAAGCTGCACTTCTGCCTAATGCATCGTTTACCAACTTCCAGCAACTGCTTGCACATGTATATCATTATTACGTGGAAACAATGCGGTTAGTTAATTACTATGGCATTTAACCTGTAGTCCCTCAGGGTTAAAAAATTTAATTTCGTCGATGAAGCTTATAGATGAGAGCCTGTTATATATGCTAGGTTTTGTTGCATTAAGGAAATCCATATTGTACACAAAGAAATAGCCATCATTTAGCACTAGTTAGCCTCAACTAATTACTGATAGAGTGTCACACTCACATGTTAGGCTCAACTAAATACTGATGCAACACATCGACTGCAGTTTTTACTAAATAATATAATATTGGTGCAAGGAGCAGATGGTGGGTTATGGCATCCCTAGTGAAGACTAGGTGGGAACCTGACTAACTGTGCCCTAGGGTACTCACAAGGCCTGAAAGCCCTTTAGGCCTTCTCTAGGGGTGGTCTAGTGGTGGATTCGGTGCCTGGTAAAAAGGCGCCAAAGAGGATGGGCTATTTGGGCCTGGTTTTGGCTCTCCATGAGGGGGACAAATATCTCCTTTCCTCTCTCCTGATGAATGTTTGTTTAACTGTATATTTCTTTTCCACTCTCCTGTCCTCTCCTTTCACTTTATATTTCACTGTACACGGATGTTTGTTTAATTCATATGCATCGAATCCCATTTTGGTTTCGGTTCCTGTCTTAAGGCAAGATTCAATTCTGCTCCAGTGGTGTGGCATCATCAATTCTTGGGCTGACACCTCATAGCAGGAATTGATTTCCGTCCGCCACTGGAGAAGGTCTTACATGATCCCACCAACACATATACGCTGAGTCCATTTTGTCCTTTTGTCTCTTTTATTAAACTACTGTCATATTCTTTGTATTCTTGTGAGTGTTTTAGTATTTTCTTCCTTCTCTTGGCCTGACCATTTCAGCCTTTGTTTGTAAGGCTTTCTCAGAATTCTACATAAAAACTCGACCTGTGGGGTGTAGACAGCCCCCGGGCATTTTGCTAAGATCAAGACCTTCTCACGTAGGTCGAGAAAACCCCCGAACCCCTGCCCCACCCTTACACAGCAGCACCGTAGCCATTGTGAGAACGACCAACGACCTGGGCCGGGTCTTAGACCTGTGCTTTGGCGTGGGACAGACGAGGGGATTTTTTTTAACCCCGTCCTGAAATTTGCCTCCCACGAGGAGTCGAACCTAGGACCTGAGGAGTGCTACTAGAGCCACCTAACCAATTCAGCTAGAACACATATGAGTTATATTATTATTGTTTGCGCAGAACAAATATCCTGCTACTAGAGCCACCTAACCAATTCAGCTAGAACACAAATGAGTTATATTGCGATTGTTTACGCAGAACAAATATCTTATCATTTTTGTCATTGGTGGATTAAGCTAGCATTTTTATCTTACATTTGATAGTATGGGCCCTATGCCATTTACTTGAGTGCTGAATATTTCTTTTCTTTTCTTCCACTTAAGTTCATATTTTTATTTAATTGTTGCATGCAGGATCCATATTTAGTACTCACAGGTCCTGCCCGTGCTGTTGTGTTTTCGGCTCCTGTAACCATCGAGGTTTACCTGAAAGTGAAGGGCCCTACTGAACTTGAGGATAAAACTTTATGCTATCTTGCTAATGAAATGCGAGACAAAGGAGCGCCTTATTCATACATGTTCCATCAGACTTGCAGTGGCAAGTTTAGCACAGTGGAGTTTACACTTGGGCATATTACTTCCTCTGTCGAGGCCACAATATCTGTTCGAGTTATCAGTGGTTCATGGCCACATGGTTTTCAGGGTGAGTTTGCTGCCTGTTTGGTTAGAACTGGTGATATTTTTCATGGTAAGCATGAAGGTCCTGTTATTGGAGGTAGGACCCGTAGCACCAGTGTTGATCACAAGAAAATAACCCTGCTTAGTTTTGGAGATGAGAAAGTGCCTGTGACTGGTGATGGTGTGATTGAGCTTTCTCGTAGTGTTGTTTCTGCTAAAAGTAACAGCAACCTGGAAGTTTCTGTTAGGGCATGGCAAGATGCTAACAATGCTGTGCAAGCTTTGGCGGCATTTGCGGCCAAGGAAGCAGGTAGAAGCTCTTGTACGCTTGACATTGGATCCTGTAAAATGGTGGTTATTGTGGCCTGGTCACTCATTTCGGATGAGCCGGAACTTCGTCGAGAAGTTGAGCCTCAGCATTTAATGATGTGAAATGGTGGTTCAAGAAGTTTCAGAATGGTTTGGAGTATTGGGACAGCATAAAGTGGTATTTATGTAAGGTTGGTGTTTGCGTTTGAAGTGGTATTTATGTACTCTAGTTGTTGGGTCTTAAGTGGTACTGTACTTCGTACTCAAATAAGAGATGATGTTGGGATCTTGTGTTTCTGTTTGAACCGCATTTTTCTTGTCTATGATCACTTCTCAGTATATGTCTTTCTGCAAACATGATACTCCAAACACTCGCGGTTTATAAGATGCGCACGAATATCAAAATTTAAACTCTACAATCTGACCAATAATTTGGCACACAAATTTTAACTATTATAATTAGATATACTATCCAATAATCATTGCGTGTTTGGTTTCTGGCCCCTCTGTCATGCCACAAGCGCTGCCACTGCTGTCAGTTGTGGCAAAAATCCATGCCACAGCTGTCAGTTGTGGCGGCAAAAATAAATCCACAACCAAGCAAAAATCCATGCCACAGTTGTCAGTTGTGGTGGCAAAAATAAATCCACAACCAAGCAGCGTCCTTAGTGTGGCTGCCGAACTCGAAGCGTGGCAGATTGTCCTGGCCAACCAAGGTGCCCCATAATAATAGTACAGCGTGCACGTGCGTCGCTACGAGATAGCTAACATTGTATACTAAAAACACACGGATCGTACGATAAGATAATAATAATGTGAAATTAAGTACTGACGTTAAAGTGACATTTAATCGAAAAAGCAAAATTCGTGAAATTAACACAATCACGGAGAACATGATGTTTGGCTCACAAACTCTACTATATAGACCTTTCCGTGATGCAGCTAAGATACATCAGCACTGGTATGTCTTTATACCACTTTTCAACAGATCTAGAGTCAATCATGATAAGCGTTTTCTTTTGCCGTTCGAAAATATAAAACATATATTTTCGAACATGTAGCCATGGCAAAAGAAACTACAAACATAGTAGCAATAAGAATAAAATATGGGAAACAAGTAATAAAAGCATGAGCAATCGACCTACATATCTACACTGTGGTAAGTTGTATTCTATATTCTCACGTACACCAATAGCAACACTCGTATATGTATGGATGATATTCAATTGGCACCACCAAAAATACACTGAACCAAAAAAATCTCCATTCAACTAAAATTGTTCTTTTGCTAAAGCATCGTGCAACGCTAATGTGCGTATCCATTTAAATAACTAACTATATATGACACATGCTCACAGCTTTTTCTCATATGACAATGAAAAAAATTAATTTGCTTTTATCTGAGACAAAGTGCCGTGAAGCATCTCAAGTTCAGTTATCTGATACAAAGGTAATTTTAAACTTTCAATTAATAACTAACTAAATATGTATAAAATTAGTTAAATTAACCATGTCCAACTCCAACTTCAGAACTATTTCGAAATTTCTTCCACCACAGTATTATGGTTGCTTTTGTCCTTGTTCACAGCTCCGGAATGTTTATATCCCCCTCTTAGGTGTGCACAACCTCAGCTAAGTTCCAGGGCCTGTCTGATTATACAAAAAAAAATGCGATGGAAACTTTTCTAATCAATTCACCCACTGAAAATAAATACCATTCATTCACTAATTATGTGCAGAGAATAAACATTTAATCCATTGCATTAGATAGAACATGGCAGCAAACACAAGAAGTGTGACTGCGGCTATTAGAATACTGGTTGGTTGCAGCACACAGTCACAAGCACTGAGATGGATGAAGGTTTAGTTCGTACTTTGTGAAACTTTCTAGAATATAGATAGGTATCTGAATTTGGCAAGAACAGAGTCTAGCAGATCTGTGTGTCCACAAAACATTGAATGCACTTAAAGTTATGTCTGCTACAAACAAACTGGTCTTGGAAGGCTGGAAATGAGAATAGGTCTTAGCTTATGAATGAGAAAGGCTAAAATTAGTTTTGGTCTAAAATAGTCATAATTCGTAAATCCCAACTGACAAGAATAAATTGGACGATTGATGCTTGATTTAATTTTAACAATGTAACATAATCCTGTTTAAATTCAGTTTTTCCATTCCACTTTCTAGTGAGCAGTACCAGTCATGCAGCACGGAAGCTCAAAAACAGAACAGAAGGCAAAGAACAATTTGCTTAAGTGTATTGTGGTGTGCTCAGTCATTAGATGGCTGTGAGTTTGCTATCAATGATGAACAATTTGCTGAATTGTTTTCTCTGTACAGTAAGCAATTTTAGGTCGATACATAAATGAGGTTGATTATTCACTATTATTCATTTATCAACAAAACACAAGGGCTTAAGAGGCTTGAACCAAAGGGTAATGGCAGCGGGACTCACCTGGATCAACGGAAGCTTGGGTAACAGGTGCCGAACGATTTCAATGCTGGATGCAGAAACTCCGCATGCTCCAGCAGAATTGAGGACAATTAGACTCTCAAAAACAGTGGAAATCACTGCAGAGAGGTACACTACGTTTTTTCCCTCTGTGATTTGTGAATTCAAGTATGCAAAGAATTGATTAAACGAACAAATGGAGGATTAGTGTGTGTTTGCTGGCTATAATCAAGTTAACCAAATACTGTTGTTCCCCACTCCTTTTTTCATCCAGGAGTTATCAAAAACATGGACATTTTACATACATGCATGCAAGAGTAAGTTCTTATATCTTCTAAATTTTGAAATCAAACATTTTCTGAATTTTAAGATAATAGCAGGAATCCCAGCGCACTTGCGCAGGCTAGTGACTTCATATATAACTGCGCTCATGAAAACAGTAGCATACATCAAGTAAAAATTTACAAAGTGGTTGTTCCAAGCAAAAAAAAAAAAAAAAAAAAAAAAAAAAAACTTCAATCGTTGCCTGTGCTTAGCCAATGTGCGATATGTTGTAAGCAAAACATTTCGGAAATTGAAGGCACTGCCAAAGGGGAAAAAAAGAAGATAAGACGTAGGTTAAATGGCAATTAGCTAAGAATGAGCACATGAAAAGTGAAAACTGCAATAGGGGTCAAAAAAAATTATGGTACCTGCAGTTCAGTGGCTATGTACTGATGAAATGGTAGTTCCTTTTAAGTAGCAACCTTAGAAAACAAAACAGACGTCTGATGGCAAGCAGATTGATCTCTGCAGCCATGAAGAACTTTTAGGAAATGTGAAAGAACCAAAAAGGCATAAAAAAGCAAGGAATTTTGCAAACAATCTTTCAGTACTGAACATACCGTATCGTGAGCCACGTAGGCACCGTGGACGTGGAGGTTGGCATCCAAGGTATCATTCTCCAGGTTCATACTTGTATGGTGTATTTCTGAAAGGTGACCAAGTTTGAAGCTTATAATCATATTTGAAGGCCATTTCAAATTACAACCTATGGTGAAGTAAACCAAGAGCTGTAAATTTCTGCATGATGCGCATCTAATATAAGACTATGGAAAAGGAAAGTCCTCCATTCCAAACCTATGGAAGCCTATGGAATTTGGATGCAGCGGTACAAAGAATTGAAACAACAAAAGCACGATATAATTTCAGATTTTCAGGGAGCAAAAATATAAGGCACTCTTAAAATTTTTGCAAGAGCCACTAAAGGACATGATTTGAAACACATAAGTCATCAGAGTTCATAGGCATTATGGATATAGATTCAGTGGCACTGGTCAACAAAGAAGTGCAAAGCAGCAATATAAGAATATAGGCGAATCAACAAAACAGAGCATATGTATAAATCTATTTATATAGCTGAAATGGTAATAGAGCATATGTAGTCTGTATGGAACTAACTTAATATTGTACGATATAATAAAGAACCATTTTTAGATGGCATGTTTTCTGCATACTTGCATATGGAACCATCAACAAAGCCAAGAACAGCACCTTTACAATCTCATCTGATGCGATTACTTACTCAACGATTGTCCCCAAGAGAGCACCATGTAGGCAATTAGTGCATGTAAATAGAGGCAGGAAGGATACCTGTATCCATGCACAAAAAATAGCATTTTCCAAATTTAATTTAGCAAATGCAAGAAAACATGTTGCTACGATTGTCCCCAAGAGAGCACCATGCAGGCAATGAGTGCATGTAAATAGTGACAGGAAGGATACCTGCATCCATGCACAGAAAACAATAGCATTTTCCAAATTTAATTGAGGAAATGCAAGAAAATATGTTTTCTACCCTTTAGAGAACCTTCTTCTGCCAGCTTACTTGATTTTAGAACTGCGTTGTAGGCAATCAGTCAAATGATGACATGGGGGCAGAAAAAGGGAGTTAAATTATAGTTCTGACTATTCGGAAAAAGAAAACACGCCTGCTGCATGAAGTGGACAGAACAGTATCGTTTTCACCTGTTGAGTGCAAATGCATATCCTTTGCGAAATAATGGAAGTAAATGTGTCAATTTAATTTGGCATCTGGCCTTTCCATGGTTAGAAATCAATAATGAGATAAAAAGGCAGGAGTAATAAGACGTAAACGGTAGCAGGTTGCAAATCATTATCGGACATGAAGCTTTGTTGGTAGCCCTCGAAAGCAGAAGTGAAGAATGGCTTGAATTCCCACCTTCGTTTCATGGTTTGTTTGAAGATCAAATTTGATTGAGACTAAGCACTTTGGTCATCAATCAGTTGGGACCGAATAGGATAACAATTTTGACAGAAAACTGGCATTAGTTAGTAAAAAGCAGAGGAACTTATCGAAATTTTACGATTTTCAGGCAATGACTTCTTAGCATGCAAGATCAAATAAAGGCTGCGGAAGAATGGTATGAAAAATTCGAAATGAACAAAAGAGAAAAAGGAAACAGACATTATACGGTAAGATCAGTAATGGGATATGTTCTGGTAGCTGATAGCGGACATTATATGGTAAGATCAGTAATGGGATATGTTCTGGTAGCTGATAGCCCTAAATCAAGAATAAGCTGAAATTCTAGTAAAGCAGCTGCACAAAATTTTCAGCGTGATTTACTTTTGTTGAGTTAAATTTGACCTTAAGCTGAGAGCCAAGGGAGTCAGTAAAATAGAAAAGTATGTAGATTGGAAGATATAATAATAAAGACTATGTAAATACATCCTAGAAAAGTGTATGCAATCAGTGAAACATGGATTTCAGGTGAACCCAATCATTGAAGCCAAAAGAATCATTTGGAGACCTTATAGGTTCTTTAATGTACAACATTGACCAAAGTTTGGATGGTCATACTTGGGTTCATATTATATCTAAAGTATTTCCCCAATCCTTCTGCCCATGCAATCAATCAAAAGCATCCAGAAGAGAATTATATCATTATAAGAGTTACGCAAAATAAAGCAACAACTCACCGGGATATAAGAAACAGAGCATCCAACTTGTGAAACTGAAGAAGTTGCCACCTAGATTGGTTTCTCTGTCAAATTAGATTTTTGTTGCGGGGAGCTATTTGACCTCTGATGAAATGAAACTGTCTTAAATGAGTAAACAAAGATGAAAGGAATAGAGATTGTTAAAGGTGTAAAAGGTCGCATCAAGTGATCAAGTGACACGCTCATGTTATAGTGGACAATAAGTATATGGTTCCCCACCGGAACTTGGGCTGCGCCGCTAGGGTTTGGGGGCGACCTCAGAACATGGAGACGAAGAGAGAGAGAGACAGCAGTACCTGGACCGCGTCGTGCCGGAGGGCTCGCACGCGGCGGATCCGGCTCACCCGCTCCTCTGGTTGGCCGTCGCCGTCACTATGGGTGAGGGGCACCGCGCCCTGGTTGTGGGGAAGAGGTAGAGGGAGGGACGCTCGGGCTTCGGAGCCGCCGCGGGTATGGGGGAGAGGGAGAGGCGCCGCCGGTGTGGGGGAGAGGGAGGGGCGGCGCTGTGGGGGACAGCGAGCGAGAGGAAGGGGTGCCGATGTCGGCAGAGGGAGAGGGGCGACGGCCGACGGGTGCAATGTACTGTTCTGGCAACAGTGCTCTGTGCGGGGGCACTGTTGATCAACAGTGATCTGTGAGGAAGGGTGGATCTACAGTTTTAAGAGTATAGGTTAGATAAAACTTCTGAATACAACATTTGTACTTCTGAATCTTTGAATGGAGGAACAAAAATAACAACCTATGCCCCAAACCTGGACTAATCTGACCAAACTAAATAGGCATATCTCTGAGGAAACACATATTTAGAATGGTGTGGTCGTTTGGAAACAGAAAATATGCTTGGATCTTGCAAAACAGCACTACGATAGTGCAACTGCTCTTATTTGAATTGACATGAGAGAAGGGTTTTACAGGGGGACATGACGGTAAAATATTTTCAAGCTGATATCAACCATTCATATAAGGGAATGAACTTTAAGCCCCATACATAGTTGGATGTTTTTATAATGCAATGCACAGGCAACACAAGAGTTCCAGCTTTGAATTTTGAAGTAAAAAAACAAGTCAGCAAGGTCTCAATATTATTGCCATCATGTCCAGCTGAGTTGAGTGCTTCCAAAATTCTGTCATGACATTTATCTCTTTGATTGGTTCCATTTCTGAGTGTGCACTGAAATACAGAAGCTCACTTAGAAGATAGTCAAAAATTTGTTAAACAGAAAAAAATTCTTAAGAGGATGTGTTGATACTGAACAACAACAAATATGGTGTCTTCCAACATACCTTATCATTGCCGACACGGCTTTGCTTCCACCTTTCATTCCATAAGTAAGAGATTGAAGTGCCTGCATGTTGGCACCTAGAAGGGAACAAGTCAAGGAATAAATGGTAGACCACATATATTCACAAATTCATGCCGCTGCTTCAAGAATGAAAGAACAATTCTATCTATTTCAAAAACAGTAGCAGGCTAAGGAATCAAAGAATGCCATCTATACTGTCAAGTAGACAGATAAATCAGCAAAATGAACTGAAGTTCAAGAAAAAGACATGAAGTTTTAAGTTCAAGAAAAAGATATTTCGGTGTCCCTCGAACCACCTATGCATGGCCATCATCGTTCACCAACCCCTTTATGCTCTTGACCACATATAAGAAAACAAAAGCATGAATTAATTAGAGATTTAATCACAGCAATGAAGCATTACAAAAATCACAAGAATCATGCAGCAGCTCATTGGGTCCCCCGTCTGCTGTCAGTATGCTGTGCACCTTAACTGTACGCAAAGTATGCTCATGTTTCAGTGTCAAAGTTGACACCAACGCACCTTAACTAATATCAGAGTTATATGTGGAACTTTAAACACAATCAAGAAGGTTTCAGTTGTCAGTTGTAACATAAATAAACATAAGTTACCTAACAAAGATGCAAGAGAGTGGATGCAATTTTTCAGCTCCTAAATTGTGGATAGCCACTTGCTACTAATCATCTACTGGTTTGATTAATAAAATGATGTCCATGATACACTTGTTCAGCACAATATTGTCATGAACAGATTCAACCATGCTAAAATCCGTCAGCCATCAAGTAACATGTATTTTAAATATAAAAATAAGGAACAGAAACGTATCATCTTAAATCTTAATAACACTAATCTACCAGGAGCCTTGCTCACCTCCCATGAATCAGGCTGAGAAAATATATTTGCATCTCATATCTGAACTTTGATATTTCCTGAACAAAAAACAGTACCATTTAATAGAAACATAACATTAGGTGGTCAGAAAATAGAGATCTTTGCTGCTCCGCATTGCAAGTTAAATGAAAAAACAACTCATACACAGGAAAAATATTAATAGGAAGCAAGTGCAGAACAGAGAGCGAAGAGATTATGGATGTCCATGGTTAAAAGAAAAAAACATTTCAGACATCTTAGGATCTTATTGGATTCAAACAAAGAGCCAGCTCAATTCGGTATCAAAATGGTAACTGCCATGATTTAAAACAGCATACTTCTATCCCTACTTGACCCAGTCTCTACCTAACTTGCAACTCGCTGCAGATTCTACACGCAACCACAATTGGAATGCCTAGAGTTTCTTGCTAACATATCATCCCTTGATCAGTTTCACGCAAGAGTATATAACATATCTAAATGTCAAGTTTTAAATATTATCATATCACCATTTTCCATTTTCTACACATACAGATTGGCTTTGGCACCAGGATACCTAGTGGCACAGAACATTTTAAGCAGCGTTTGCTTCCTTGCAGCATATGCAGATACTACATGACTATTTGATGCTACTAAAAACGAACTCACCCACCTAATGAGCAATTACAGATAAATATTAATGCCTGCAAATACTGAAAGCAGAGCATTGAAAATACAAACCATTTAGAAAGCAGGAAAACAAAGATATTTTTGAAGTGTATGTACTTCAGTTATCGAGGCCAATAACAATAAGACACTCCATGAAATAAATTGATGTACAACTTATGCAACCAGATAATTCACCTCCATATAGGCATATAGTGTAACAATAGACATGTCACTTGAACACAAATCATGTAGCAGTTCTGTTCAAAGAATGCAGTGCAAAAACAAAGAGGCAAACCAATTAGGTACAAAAGCACAGTATTACATCCAGGCTGTGATATAATGATCCTTGTCTCCCTGCAGCACAGGACGCAATTAACAAAAAAAATAAAAATAAAATGGTACCATGAGATCAGTGGGAGGATTCATTTGTAAGAACAGATCGATACAAAAATTGTATTGCCATGTTTTTCTCAAAACGAAATCATTTTCCCTATGGAACCCCCACAAAATAAACTGAAAAATTATAAGAGATCATGGAAAAGACATATACCAAGAGGTTGGATCTTCAAGATATCATCCTTCCATGTCAGTTTTACACATATTTATCCTATTAGGAGAGCAGTGAACGATCATTGGCACCTAGAACCTTGCATGACAACAAAATGGAAGAAGCATAAGTTGCTGACTTTATTGGGAACAAATCAATGGAAGAAGCAAGTTACTGCTTTTACTGGAACAAATTAAAATCATTGTACACAAAAAGATAAAGAAAAGAGACAGGAAACCGGAGAGGGAAATCCCTATGCCTGTATCATGGCCCTAAGCATCTCACCATGGGTGGCCAGCGCCGGTGAGGTGGTGAGGTTTGGAGGCTGGTGATGAATCTGAAAGCCATGATGTGGAGGAGGCCGAGAAGGAGGCGCTTAACTGCAAGAGGACCCTGGGCTTCTTACCCATCGGCGCGGCGGAGGCTGTTCCGGCGGGCACCCGGCCGTTCTGCGGCCTCACTTCGTGGCCCTGGTGGCGTCCTCGGATCCACCCTTCTGCGCGCGCATCAAGCAACGATCAGTGCCGGATCACCACCGCCAGCACCGCATGCACGCGCGGCGGGCAAAGGCAGGCAGCCACAGGAGGCAGGACGAAACTCACCTTGGCCGGCGCCGCGGCCTCGTCTGTCTTCACCGTCGGGGCGGGGGCGTCCTCAGATCCGGCCAGAGCCGGGCGGGCGCGTGCGGCGGCGGCACGGTGAGGGTGACGATGGGGCGCGGTGGATGCGGAGCCGGGCACACAAATCACGGGAGCGAGGTTTGTTTGCTTCCTTAAATCACGGGAGCGAGTCAGCGAGGTTTGTTCCAGTTCGTTCCTTTGAATTTTGTCGCAAGGCATGGGTTTAGGAACGAGGGGTGCCGGATCGCACCAGGCGGCAGGACTATGACCCACGTTAGAATGTAAGACCAGTGTCCAGTGTCCACGTGTTGTTCTTTTTTATTTTAGTTGTAGTATAAGTATAGGAGATAATCATAGCAATTATAATATAAAATAATTGAATCGCTAAAGCGTAATTTGGGAGTCCGGGTCATACCAAATTATGTCTTATAAATTGGATTGGGGGGAGCAACGGAGTACATCTCTGTACGTACATTTTATTTTAAGTAACAATTATTATATGACAACGGCAGGAGATACTCCCTTCAGGTTGGGGAGTAACGGAGTACTAAATTCATCCCAAATTATAAGGTATTTTAACTTTTCTAGATACTTTGTTTTTACTATGTATCTAGACATACTGTATATCTACGTGCATAGCAAATACAACGTATCTAGAAAAGTCAAAACGTCTTATAATTTGGAACGGGAGAGTACATCTCTGTACATTTTATTTTGAGTAACAATTATTATATGACAACGGAAGGAGATACTCCCTTCGGGTTGATAAAAGAAGTCATTTTAGACAATAACATAGTCTCTAAACCATAACTTTGACTTTATTTTTCTATAAAAATATTTATTTAAAAGTGATATATGTATACTTTTATAAAAGTATATTTCAAGACAAATCTACTCCTATGGTTTTTATATTTTCAAACTCAGCAACTTAAAAGTTATTCATGATTTATATTCCCAATGTTTGACCCAAAACTTGTCCAAATTCTTTTACCAACCTGGAGGGAGTACTCAAAGAAATGGTCACGTTTGTTCTGTGTCAAATAGTAAATATTAAATGTTTTGCAAGTACAAAGTGTAACAGATTATTGTTTGAAGAAATGATAGTTTGGGTCTTGATCCAAGAGCGTGGCACTGAAGTTTGTCGAAGAAATGCATGCTAGGTGACAAACAAATCTAAGCTGCCGCTTATTGTAGTGTTACAAAACGTTAATTGGTTTTGCTTCTCAGTTACTAGTAGAAACCTAGAGCGCCTGTATGATACTTGTTGTTACAATTTGTAAAATTGCTTAATGATACAATATAATACCAACATATAACTAATTAAATGAACAAGGGAAATTGATTGCCAAATATTCAAAACCCCATATATTTGACAACCGTTGTGACAAAATTATAGAAATTACATGTTTTGACCATTACAACCTTGCTTGTACATAGTATTGGGTTCGTGCCAGTGTGTTGGTACGGGAGAAAAAAATTGCGACCGCGATAAAATTAGCAACAAAAACACATGTATTAATATCACCGAACAGAAGCGATATGATCCGCAAGCCCACCCGCACTAAGTTGTATAATAATTGAAGTGAATAAATAATAAGATATGAATGTCTCCAAGATATGGTTCAAGCTGATAACAAATAAATTGAATAGTTCAAGCAAACCGTTGCTAGTTGTCTCTATAAAAAAAGGAAGAACAACATGATATCCAAAGATCTACCAACTCTATTTTATACCATAGTCTGTGATGGGGCTAAGAGAAGGAGGGAGGGCAGAACAACGATGTATGACAGGTGACACAACGGTTGAAAAAAAAAATTAAAGAACACCCAACACCCTTATAACTTAAGTACATAAAAACAAAACAATTGCCTCGTACGAAGCCCTAAGGTGAATGCATAGTCAAGTAGCAACCTCCTATTAAGTCCTAATAAGGTCATTGCAAAGATCTTCCGGTCTGAGTGCTTTTTACGACAGAACAGCACCCTAGGTCTAGCCCTGTCAAGCCTCGTGCAATGTATAGTCGAACAGTAACCTCTCGAGAAGCCTTATAATGTGATTCTGAGTTTTTCAAGGCAAAGTCCAAGTGCTTTTTACAACGGAACATATCCTACCTGGGTCTAGTACCTTTGAAGCCCCAACCGATGCATAGTCAAACTACAACTTCCCGTGAAGCCCTAAGGTGATTGCCAAATGCTTTAGGACAGTCGAGTGCTTTTAACAACAATAACAACATCCTACGTGTCGTGTTGTAGGGATTGTCGTCTAATCCCTCAATTTAAAATACCAGAATGTATGACCACACAATCAAACCCGGAGCTAGGAGGTTATAAACATTACTACATAGTCATTCCCTACATGGCTGGGGCGCTGGGCCAATCGATAATGAAGGTACCTAAGGCTCTAGCCCCATCAAGCCCACGAGAAATGCATAGTCGAATAGCAATATCTCATGATGAAGCCCTAAGGTGATTCCGAGTTCTTCTAGGTGTAGTGCGAGTGCTTTTTCCCAACAAAAACAACACCCTAAGTACCTAGGAATCTAGCACCGTCACGCCCCGAGCAATGCATAGTTGAACAACCACCTCCAGCAAAGCCCTAAGGCAGGGGCGAGGCCAGGACAAAGTATCGTCGGGGTCGATACAAACATATGGTATTTTTTAGATAAAGGAATAAATTTAGCTTTGTTTCTTTTAAGCAAGAGAATCAGACCACTTATCACAACATATAAAAATACCAAAAAAAAAACTCAAACCAAGTTTTAACATAATTTGACCATTTAAAGGAAGAAAAATGCACCGTAGCCGTCTCGAGCAATGAGAAGTCTGGATGATGCACTCCTTATTGGCGTCACCATGTTGTAATTGAGTTCATTGACGTAACCAGCGATATTAACTTTTAGCTTGTGAAAATATAGTACTATAAATAATTTCAATAACAAATAGTGTAATAGTATAATATTATGAATAATTATTATATAAATATAAGCTTGTACATTATCAATATAAATATTAATCTCACTACCAAGATTGTTTAGTTCTGTTGACTATTTAGATTTAAAAGAATTTCTGGAATTTAAAAGGTGATATAAGCGATTTAGAATTTACCTTATTAAAATATTCTCTAAATTATGTAAACTGCAAGTTGAATCCTTTTAGGCTTCAGCTGTGCTGGTACTGCACGTTTATGAAGGCAAAAAGGCTAAAAAAGGCCAAGACTACTGCGCTTTCCTCTTGCCTTTGGTTTACTAGGTAGCATGCCCGTGCGTTGCTACGGGATAACTAAACTTTTATAATAAAAAAACACGGATCGCACAATAAGATAACAATACTATGAAATTAAATACTAACGTTTTAATCCAAAAGTCAAAGTTCATAAAATTAACATCGTCACGAAGAGCACGGCGTCGTAGGCTCACCAACTCAATTGTATAGACCTTTCCGTGCATTGCAACAGATCTTCTGTGAGCCTTTGAGAGTCCTTCGTGCTTACGGAATACATCCCTATCTTCGTGTTGGCCCTTCTCTCCCTCACCTAAATCGTCTAGCGTTTCTAAAAGTAAATAATAAATCCTCTATATGTTTCATTAAGGTCGCTACAAAGGTGGAGGAAAAATATGCCATGGAATTCAAAAACTCGCATGTGCATTGCACCAGGAGGCAGGAGTAACGAAAAAATTCAGGACATGTTCAGTAGTCAAACCAAAATCGTAATCATGATAATTCAACTTTGCACGTATGACATTACTATGATAAAATATGATTATGGATGAACTAACATATGATTAGTTGATTAACCGAATGATATAAAGTTACTATTCTATCTATATATATGGAATAGCATCAAGAGTGGATATAGGAACATTGCGTTCCTACTGCTGAAGACACAAGAGGTCGTGCATGCTGAACGGTGACGCTTGAGACGACTGTCCATATCTTGCACAGTTCATAAAAAAACAGCTATAACTAAATTGGGGTAACTCATGAAGTAAGCCGAAAAGTGACAGGGAGTCCTGAGATGCAGGTATGAATGTTCAAACAAGCCCTGCAGAGCAACAATCACAGATCTTTAAATAAACACGCCTTCCCTGGATAGAACTGAAAGCAATATGCAACTTCTTGTATATGAATGCAGTTCAGTCAAAGTAGTGTTACACAAATTATTTATACGGCTTGCAATTCTCGATCGTTCTTCAATATGTAGCTAACAAGAATTACCACACAAGCATCATGCTCCCTTTACAGGCAAGTCAATGAACACACCCCAGTCTCTTCTGCTTTTAGGAGATGAAGTATGCCTCACTATCCTTCTAAAACTTGTGACTGCAGTTTGAAAAGGTAAACCATCATACCAAGCAGAAGAGTAATATTGTCAGCCAATCAATCGAGAAGTATAAAAACACACCTGAAATGCAAATCTTAACCAAACACTTATCTGTCCCATCTAAAATAGGAAATGTGCAATATAGCAAAAGGGCATTTTTAATCACTTGGCTATCACTTAGACACGGAGGGTTGAAGCATGGTAAATATGAGCAGAGTCTATGATTTTTCATTATTGCATATCAACGGCAAAAACGGAGGGTTGAAGCATGGTAACAGAACAAGCCTATAACAAAAATTGCTGAAGTTGCATCAGGAAAATTTCTGGATGTCCATATTCATAAGTGAAATTCTTTAACTGCCAAAACTGACAAGATAAAGAAATTCATGAACCTATTGATCACTGGATTTTCAACAAATAACCAAAAGAATTCCCTTTTCATGTGCAAATATTATAATATCTTTTTGCTAGTTTATTATATTAAATGTCTAATTTACAGGAATCTTAATTAATAAAAACACACTCCCTATTTGCTATGTGTCTAGAAAAGCCAAAACGTCTTATAACTTGGAATGGAGGACGAAGTATATGAGAAAAATAGAGAGAAAGTAATATTGCAATATATTAAGGGATAAGAAAATTAGAGTTAAATACATTGGTTAGGCTTGCCAAGTTTGATTAGAGAGTGTCATTATCAATCGGTTTTTTTTAGAAACACCAAGGGCAACTTACCTCCTAAGCTCCATTTTCTGAATACTGCTCCTTGGAATGTTCTTCACTTCCTGAGGTAGAAATCAAGTAATGAATTCAACAAAAAGTAAAATCAGGGGTCTAGGAGTTTTGTAGCTATGCTATTTTGGTGGTTGCTCTGCAGTGCTTATTTAGTGTAATTTGAATCCCATTTGCATTGTTGGATGTAAGGTTTTCTACACGCTACAACACAAAATAAGTAATATTAGTAGACGTGTCAAGCGATTACTTGTTAGCTTAATCAGTGAAACATGGCTAGGTAAATTCAGTAGCAACACAAGAAAGGGTGAGTCCTTGATTATTTCATCCTGGCATATTATTAATAGAGATGGCGGCAGGGTATACATCAACCATCAATTTCATGCCTTGATAAGTTGTACCCTGGTTGCCACCTCATAAGAATTACTTAGAGCTTTCATCATAGCACACACTTAATCTGTATCTACTTGGCTTACACATGGATGCATGTAGGCAGACCGCCAGATGGTGTACAGTACATGCAAATCTGAAGCAATCTGGCCTATATTGCTTATGTGGTAAAACAGAGGTCACAAGTGCTTACTTCTTTGTGTTTTGCTTTGTGCAGGACATGCAAAGTGAAGCAATCTAGATGGTGTACAGTACATGTAAATGGCCTTTGTCTGACAGATCAGTATATATTTAGAGAACTCCAAATAAGCACACAAACGGATAGCAACTGAACATATTCAGAGACTGTGAATAAGCAGTTAAGCACACATATGAATACTCGTTTTTTCATGTATTTATAACACAGATGGTTTATAATTTAATCATTGATGCAAAGACAAACATGTAGAATCTTATATGATTTATGCTGTGTACTAATTTCATGTAATATCCTTTTCTAAAAAAAATCATGTAATATGCCAAACATATCATATTAACTTGTATTATATTGCAAGTGCAAGAAATCTAACCTCATGGGGAGTCCACCATTGGGTTATAAAATGGGTTCACCATTGCAATGGAATCTTTACCCAAAGTGTTACGGCGTAGTATAAAACTGAAAAATCACCGCTCTAGTAAAAAAAATCTGACAAAAAATACACAATTGTCATGACGATCTTCCACATATTCTCCAATCAAGCACGCATGACTCTAAATTCTAATTATTCTATCTCTCCATTGGAACACAAAGTCATACGTTTTCACTAATGTGCCAAAATCACAGTCCAGGACATTGGGGAAAAATTCCAAAAGTGCTCACCTTGAAGTACATGAAGGGCAACTTAACAAGTTCCTATAGGATTGGATGCAGGACCCCCTTGTTGATGGCGTCCATCGTCTCATAGCTGCAGCAGCAGTCCTCCACCATCAATGTGTACTTCCTCGCAGCCTGAAACGGATCACACCACAACCTCAGAAGTCAGAACCACGTCAATCAAATCATCCCCTCCCCACCACCACCACCACCAAAAGAAAAACAGGCAGGCAGATCGAAAAACCAACAGAGAATATGACGAGGAGGGGATGCTCGGGAAGCTGCGGTAGTTCACGGCTACGTCGAGGCTTCAGGTGTTCACAAGGATCTGGATCTCAGGTAAGGTGGAGGCTCGTCCTCTCCTATTCTTGCTTGGGCAGGGGCATTCTAGAAAAAAAAATATTGTAATTACTAATTAGATTGACATCCTCTACTATGCAACAACAATGCATAATATGTTCTCTTAGAGGATACAGATCATTTAAAGAATGTAAGCAACTAAAAGGTCATCTGTAAATATCAGCTTGGATGCTGCTACATAAACTTGACTTCAGAGTGGCACTGTCTCAGTATAGGTAAAATCTCATTTCAAGTTGGTAATCACTAATTTTGTCTCATATGCAGCAGTAGTAAAAGAAATAATTAGAAGCAAACAAAAGTTTCCTTTGGGCTGATAGTGCCATGGTACCTAACAAGTGAAAAGCAATTACAAAAAAAGGCACTGCCACTTCTCTGTAAGACTATAATCGTAATCTACAGATAGAAGCCAGGTAATAAGCTAATCAAATAATTTATGCATCTGAACTTTGAACCAAAGTTTTCTTTGTAAATAATGTATCCAGAAGGCAATCTAAAATTACTTACATATACTAATTGTGTTCATCTACTCTCCTCTGAATACAGCAGAAACTCCAAACCTCTGCTACATACTGTAATTGGATGATTACCAGAAAAACCTAACAAAGGTCACCAATTGTTTACATCACAAGTGACCCCAATATTCTCACATGAATCAAACACTGAGAAACCTAAAAGGGCGTCCATAAAAAAGAGACATTATTCTATGTGGTCCGTGCAATGTTGTTGGACCAACTAACAGAAACAGCTCCTGAAATGTGCCTTTGCAGGTTCTGGTGCAGAACTGGAATAACCCATCTTCACTAATCTTTACAAAGCTCCATATACAAGGATCTAGCCAAGTACAAAGAGTTGTGTAAATACTGATACCCCATAGAGTGATGGGGTCAAAGAATGGAAAGCAGTTTCTTGAGTAAGCTGTAAGGATAGACGTAAAAGACAGAGGAATCACCGTACAAAATAGTTGGAGACTTGTTAAGCTGATAGTATCTGGTTTTGAACAAGAACATTGTTCTGATTGGCTTTGCCCAGAACCCATGCTGAAGTAGTTCTTATTCTTTCATCTGCATTGCTAAGTTCCCAAATCAACGGAAAAAGGCCTCCAATTTTGTCAAGGTCTGAAAACAAATTGATAAAAACATGTCACCATAAGAATCCTGTACAGAAAAATAAGTACAATTCTTGGTTTGCACAGGCTGATAAACATGATTAGAAATGAACTGCTGATCTTTATGAAACAAGGAAAAGTAGATGTGCGCTATCACATCCATTCCAATGAAACCTGAAAGTTCTCATGTAATCGTTTTTCAGTTACGTCAATAAATACTAAACTACCTCCTTGTGAATTGTGATCAACTTTCGTTTTTCAGTTACGTCAATAAATACTAAACTACCTCCTTGTGATCAACTTTTTATTCGCTAGATTAGTGTCTAGTAGTTTTTACCTGTCTCTTCCATTTTCCAAATTTCCTTTTCAATTCATTTTTCCATATAGCATGTGATTAAACAGATGTGTATCATGGTTGTACTTTTTTTTTTTTTTTGCTTTCACACATTATCAGTGCACTGTAAACAATTCACGAGTTATCTGCTTGGAAATTATGAAGATTGGAACAATGATCGAGGAGGAAGTCATACTAATTTTTTTTACCACTTTAATTATAATAGGATCGGCTCTAGAGCAACCGAGCATCACATCACAGAAATCCAATGCCGATGGATCAAATTGGTAGATTATGCAACAAATGGGAGAGTGGATCGGAATCCAATGCCGATGGATCAAATTGGTAGATTATGCAACAAATGGGAGAGTGGATCGGAGTACCTCCAGGGAGAGGTCGCAGGCATACAACACTGGGTCGCCGGGCATCATCTCGTTGGAGGGGCCTGAAGCACCTCGGCCTCCTGGACGGTGGTGCCTTGGCCTCCTCGACAGCAGCAGGTCGTGTTGCCGCCGTCGCCGGAGGAGGCCACCTGGATCAAGGGGTTATTGGAAGAGGAGAGGTTGCGCGAGGCGGGGCGTGCGCACAGCACCGTGATTTGCCGGGGAGCCGATGGGGCCACCACAGCAGAACCGAGCGGGGTCGAGCAGCGTCGGGCACTGGTTGATCTTGGCCTAGACCTCGTCCACTCCGAGACAATGACGGCGGTAGGACGAACGACCCCTCCTGACCAATCCACTCCCACCGACTCCTCCACCATCGTTGTCACCCGTCCCCGTCGCCATGGCCATCGGCACGGGACGGGATAGGATTGGGGGTCGTCGTCGGCGGGGAGGAGCAGGGAGGCGGCGGATGGGGAATTGGGGACTGAGCCGGGAGGAGCCGAGCGGGGGCTTTCCTTCTGTGCGCGATGCGGGGATGTCGCGCGGACGGGTTTCCTTGTGTGCGGGATTGTTGAGCGGGGGCTTTCCTTTTTTTTTTTTCTTTTTTGACCGGCGGGGTCTTTCCATGTTTGCGCGACGTGGGAGATGTCGTGGGATCGCACGGAGGGCAGACGGACGACATCAAATGGCAGACCTCCGCCTCCGGCTAAAATAGCTTTATGGCTTTACTCGAGGAATTAGTTTTATAGATTGTTTAGTAAAATAGCTTTTAAAATAATAAATGTCGATAATATCTTTTTTTTTTTTTCTTTCTTTCTTTATTTGCTCCACACCCGTCGTACACACCACTGCATGTCCGCATCCGCATCTCCAACCTTATCTCCTCATGAACCGCACGACCTCCATCGCCGCCGCCGCTAGGAAGTCCGCCGGCGCCCCTTCCTCCTTCTCCTGCACAGCCACGCCAAGACCACTCGCGCCCCTTCCTCCTCTTCCCACACAGCCACGCGGAGACCCTGGCCGGTGTGCCTCCAGACGGCCGCCCCCAACACCAATGCGCCCGCATGGCTGGCGGCGGCTCCTTCTCCATGCCCGGTGGCTGCACCGGCGACAACGCCCCCATCTTCCCCCCGCGCGCGCCGTGCTAACGCTGAGGGGCAAACTCGCCCAGGGCCCACGCATCTGAGGAGGAGCTGAGGGAAGCTAGTTTTTTCGGCTCCATCTTTCTTCTCCACTCTCTCTCAGCGCAAATCACGTGACTTCTCCATGGAATCTATTCCTTGGCACCCGTTTGGCGGGAGGAGTCACGAAACAGCTCTCGAAGCCGGTCCGGGAGCACTACTAAACGGGTTCCAAATATCGCACAAAAAGTGTCCACACTTTGTTATTTTTAGTTGTAAGAGAGGGAGATTCTGCGGCTTGCACAGTCGCATCGCAAGCCTAGCCAGTCGCCACGCTAGGCTGTTGGGTTGCCGCTGCGGTCTATCGGGGTCATACAGTTTTTTTTGTCGGGTCTGTTCTTGCCAAAATTTGTAGAGTACGCGAGGCATGCCGCATACGCGGCCTCCTGCCACGCGACACGCCTGGTTGTCCGGGTCGCTGTTACCATAATGTCGTTGATCGTCGTCCGCCAGGTTCGGCTCATGGCGTCTGGCGCCTAGGGCCGGCCGGATGTCCTGGTGGGCGAAGAAGCGTTGCACACCGGGGAAGGCTCCCTCATGCGCGCTGCTCTGTTCCTTTCGGGCTGAAGTGTGGTTGGCGCTGGGGGCGCCGCGTGTGGTGGAGATGGCCATGGCACTGGCTTCGGAGTGCCGCCTCTCCGCGGAGCTCTAGGCCTGCTGCGTCGCCGTGACTTCTAGCAGGTCTCAGTAGCTCCTTGTGAACGCGCCTTCCCTCGTTGGTCGAGGGTTCCGGGGCCGTTCATATGAGCATGGCCGCCGTGGCGACGTTCTGGCGCTCGAGAGAAAACAGGTGTTTCCCTTTTACCCTGTTGAACTTGTTCATGGACGCGTCGTGTCCGGGCCCGTGCGCCTTCGGCGTCGAGGTGCTGTGGGCTGGGGCATCCATCAGCATGCCATTCGTTGGCCTGCTCGGCCTCTCGTGCTTAGGCCCGCTCCAGGCGTTCCTAGTCGTACGCCGCCTACTCTCCGAGGGTGCGTGCGATCCGGTACTCATCCTCCTCCCTGCCTCGGTAGCCGCTGCCCCATTTTCCGAGTGGTGCAACATGTTGCACTCTCGTGTAGGGTGATAACTTCCCTTGGACCTAGACTCAGAGTCCGTGTCGTCAGGGGTTGACAATAGGAGGTCATGGATAGATTTCGGGTGTCGTTCCACCATCCCCACGAAGCCGGCGAGGTCGGGTGTTGCCGAGCGGCAACAGCGCCTGGCTAGCTCCTGCTTGAAGAGCGCAGCAGCCTCCCTCATTCTTGAGGGAAGCGGGGTGCAGGGGCCCAGAACTTCAATTCTAGTGGCATGAGCCTGCCCCTCGATAACTGAGCGAAGGTACAGGCCAATAGGTAAAACACATGCTGGCTCTGCTCTAGCTCGGGTCCGTCCTGAGGTCACTACTATAGAAACTTTAACTGAAACGGGCAAAATGGGTTAACTGAGGCGGTTTTTGCAACCGCCTCGGATCAAAGGTTATGGTTAATCTGACCTTTTTTGAGGCGGTTTGCTGCCCGCCTCGGTTAATCAAATTAAAAAAATAAAAAAGCCCAGAGCCCCTACGGGCCTGGATCTGGGCCTGGATCCATCACCGATCGCTGGGGCCGCGCCACCGCACCTGCATGCCCACCGCCGCCGCTGTCGATCCGCCGCCGGGGAAGCCGGATTCGCCTCCAGGAACCCGCGGCAGGGTCCTCACCGCCGGGATCCACCACGCCGAAGCCGGATCCGCTGCTGCTGATGATGAAGGGGCGGATCTACTGCTGCTGCTCCGGGGCGGGAGAGGAAGGGAGAGGGCAGATCTGCCTCCGGGAAGCCGCTGCCGGCGCTGGAGGAGGGTGGATCCGCTGCCGACGTTGGAGGAGGAAGCCGCCACCACCAGATGAAGGGGAGGGAGGGGAGGGAGTCGTGGATCTGCCGAGCCACGCCCGCTCCGCCGCCGAGCCGGGGTCGCGGGCTCCTCTAGCTGCCAGGGGAGGGGAGGGGGCTCGCCACCGCGAGGGGAGTGTCGCCGTGCACAAGGATGCCTGCCACCCGCCAGTTTGATGACGCGCCGTCGCTTCCCGAGCCCGCCGCGCTGGCTCTGTAGTGCCGCCCACACTCGAGAGAGGCCGCGTTGCCCGCGCCTGAGAGGACAGGGAGAGGGAGGGTCCGGCGTGCTCATGGAGGGAGGGAGGGCGCGGTGGGGGAGAGGAAGGGTCTGGCGCGCTCGGGGATGGAGGGAGGGTGCGGTTGGGGAGGGAGGGCGGTCGGGGAGGGAGGGAGCGGTCGGGGAGGGAGAGCGCCGTAGGCTGAGGGAGAGCGATGCGGTGGGTTGAGGGTGAGGGAGAGAAGTGAGAGAGCTAAAACCCTAAGTCCCCGTATATATACTCAGTGGGTGATATCGGGCTGGTTTGGGCTTTTTCACTAGTAGTGGGCCTCGGCCACTATTAACCGAGGGGGCCTTATAAGAGGGCCGCCTCCGAAAATAGGGGTATTTCTGAAGGCGGGCCTCTTATAATGCCCGTCTCGGTTAATAGATTTTAGGAACCGTCTCCGTAAATCGATTTTTCGAGGCGTTTTTCTTAACTGCCTCAGTCAATGAAAAATAACCGTCTCGGTTAATCCGAGGCATTAATCGAGGCGGTTGAAATTGCTGCCCGCCTCCGAGGCTCAATTCCAAACGTCTCGCAAAAGTTTTTTTGTAGTAGTGGGTAGGCGTCTATCCTACATGCGAGCGCATCCTAGTCGACATCTGCAGTGTCCACGCAAGCCGACATAAAGCTGGGCGGCGAATGTGCGATGGCGCCGCATTCCCGTCGCGAAGGCCTAGCTATCCCAGGTGGTCAGCTACGACGTCTAGCTCTTTGGAGCTCAGCGTAGGATCCATCGATGGAATGTGCAGCGGCGCCGCATTCCCATCGCAAAGATGTAGCTGACCCATTCGATCAGCTATGAAATCTAACTCCCCGAAGCGAAGAGCTTGGCTGCGGAGAAGATCGGCAGGAGGCACGCGCCCGCTAATGTCGACGAACTCGAGGCTTCAAAAACGGATGCAGCCACCGAGAGCGAGTCTGATGTAGGTGCTAGGAGCCATCGCTTCCTTCCCAACAACGGGAGTGCATGACTATCCCCTACCTGGCGCGCCATATGTCGGTGTTTTGTCACCCGACCTGTGAATTTGTGTGTGCGTCGCGCTGCTCTAGAAAGACGATGGTAGCATTTAAAAGACACAATGAATTATACAGGTTTCGGCCGGAGCCCTACGTCCAGTCTCATAGAAGAAACAGTACTTGTTCCTCGGCTGAATGCTCTAAAGTTCTTACAATGGGGTATGGAAGAAGAGGTAGGAGACGGTGAGGGACTGCCCGAATGGAGTTTTCAGGAGTCCGACCCTTGGAATGGAGGACTGGCTGCTCTTATATAGAATCCGGTGCCAGTACAAAGAAATAGGTTCTCCAGATCGAGGGGTCATGAGCCCGAGAGAGGGAAATATCTAGCTATCTTGGCTTGCTAGTAACGCTATCCTATTCTGGTGTCGAGGTACGCTCCGTTGTGGCTGCCATCATGGTCTTGATCCCACGTTGCAATAGGGCATGACATGATGCTACAGTACTGGTTGTAACGACATTGTTGGCACGATGAAGGTTTGCCAGCTATCCTGTGTGATGTGAGGTTGTCATGGCCTTCGTCATCATCTTCGTGGAGGGTGGCATGGCAACGGTGCGGAGCTGGTAGCCACCTCGGGTCGTCAATCTCTCCTATTCGTCGAGGGCCCGGCCAGGCCAGATCCCGTACTGCAGGGTCGTGGCTGCCGGCGGGTTCCCCGGCCTTTGATGACAAGTCTGGGGTCATGCGCCCCATCCCGTAGCGGGTGGGACGTACTTGTTGTCTCGTCGGTCCGTATGTGGACGGTGGTCTTCGTACCTGTCGTCACTGGCCCGAGGTGCTGTCTCGTCGGCAGCATGGCGCAGTGATGGCGTCTGCCTCAAGGCGGCTATCCCGTCCGACCTGACAGAGCGTGTAAGGCACGCCAGTCCTTGTCTCGTTAGACAGCTTTGATGCGGCTCGACCCCTTCCCGTATCTCCCAGGGGTCATGGCGGGGGAGGTCGTACTGCACGCTACGCAGCGCAGTGCGAAGTCAAGAGGAGGTCGTGGCCGCCCTCTTGGCTTATTGTCGGGCCCAGCCCTCTGCTCGGCTCTAAACGGACCTCGTCTACTGGGCTTCAATTGGTCTGGGCCGGCAGGATGTTGTTTAGTCTGTGTCATGAGACACCCGGGTATCATAACCCTGACATACAGGCAGTAAGGTGCAGGACTAAAATGATAAGGTGAATGCTTTTTTAAAAGGCACCATAGGTTGTAAGGCAGAAGCCTATATCGCTAAGCTGGTCACTTTTTAGAAGCTACTATTAGAACAGGTGGAAGCAAAAGACACCATGAAGCACAGCCTTACCGCTGCAACTTACGTACAGGCAAACGGCATAGCAACCAATATTAGCTTAGTGGTACTCCAAAAATATAGAGATAATTTTTGTTGGTGCTACAATGGAATCTGGTGAGGTGATCTAGCACTTGTCTATTCATAAATTACAATGAAAACTACCAGTTATTAAAACAAGCTATAAAGGAGGTAAGGGCTCAAGCAATGTCTAACAGGTGAAAGCAAAAGACACCATGGAGCATTGCATTGCTGCTGCGACTCATATTGATAAGAAACCTTGGATTCTTCCAAATTAAGGGCTGGGATTTCATTTGGGTCCCTAGCAGTATGAACACCATATGTGTTATCAGGGAAAGTGACTGCAGAATATTCTCAAAAGTTTTTTTGAGGAAGGAATATTCTCAAAAGTTAGTCCTAGTTTTACCAACTGTAAAAATAAGATCATGAAAAGAGAGGCCATAAAAAAATGCCTATGAATAGAAAGAAGCACGCAGGTATGAAACAGGTAAGGGCCCAAGCAATAGCTAGTATGTGAAAGCAAAAGGCTCCATGAAGCACTCTCAATTAGTTTTTGAAAAGTACAAATTGACAAGACTATATGAAAGATAAATGTTAGCTAAGTGTATGAGCACAACCATGGCTAAAATAGTATATCTGAAATTGGAGATAACAAACAGTAGGTTGAATATAAGGTTCTCAACTCAGCCCCACTCTCTGGAGATTAAAGATGTCAATCCAGTTGAAACAGACAGTGAGCAAAACAAACATGCCTACTCCGTTGCGCTTGCATCTGCTGTTGCTGCTGAAGCTGCAGCAGTTGCTGCCCAGGCTGCTGCGGAGGTTGTCCGCCTCACAGCAGTTACCACGCCTGCACCAAAAATGCCTGTTAGTTCATCAAGGGAAGAACTTGCTGCCACCAAGATTCAGACTGCCTTCAGGGGTTATCTGGTAATTCATCTGCACTTGTAGGTCATTTACTGTTTGCTTCTGTTATCTTGTTGATGTCGTTGCACTAGCCCTATAGTAAGAAAATTCAGATCCTCTGACTGCTGTGGGTCACTGTCTTAAACTTATTAGCACTTGAGACCATGCACGAAACTAACTTTTGGTTAAGATTTTGTAAGACATCTGATTTGGTTGGTAAAGCGTTGCTGTCTATCATCATTGTGTATCTCTATGATCTGTTCGTTTTAGAATACAGCCAAGATTTCACTTTGCTGGTCGTTTTCAAACTTATATTTATCCGATGTTTCCTATCTTTCATGGCACTTAAAGAGATGCTGATGCTAATGTTACAGCTGAAAAAAACAAGTTAAAGTGTGACTAAACATGATCTATTGAGAATACTTCCACTTATCTTGTTGGATTCATTGACCTATTTATTTATATGAATATTTTGTTTATTTTTGGTTCTATGGGATATTAAGTGCTTATTAAATCTGCAAAAACAAATTTCAATTTTAGGCAAGGACAGCATTGCGGGCACTAAGAGGTCTAGTTAGATTGAAGTCACTTGTTGATGGAAATGCTGTCAAGCGCCAAACCGCTCACACCATGCAATGCACACAAACAATGACAAGAGTTCAAACTCAAATCTACTCTAGAAGGGTGAAGTTGGAGGAGGAAAAACAGGCTCTTCAAAGGCAGCTCCAATTGAAACATCAAAGGGAACTTGAGAAAATGAAGGTGAGCACACTGCACACCATTTTGATGCAAGAGTCTAAGCTACATTGATGTCTAGGAAAAATGTGTTTTTCTCTATCCCTATGTTTTGTACCATAATTTAAAACATAATGTCGCACCCAAGTAGAGTTTTTCTTTGGGTACTAGATGATGCAATTATAGAATAGGACGGTCCTGATATAAGAGATCTCTGACAAAATTTTCTTATCAGATTGATGAGGACTGGGATCACAGCCATCAATCCAAAGAGCAAATTGAGGCCAACCTAATGATGAAACAGGAAGTTGCACTGAGACGAGAAAGAGCACTTGCATATGCATTTTCTCATCAGGCAAGTTGTCTCTTTTGTTTCTGTTGAGTTCGTATATTATTTTTCTTGTTTAGCTGTTCCCAACTTCTGTTCTACATTGATTTGTTCTATACATGTAGCTCTGCTTCTCACTCTTTCGTCATTCTTGTTTTGGGGTCTTCTGATGCAGTGGAGGAATTCTGGTCGAACTATAACCCCTACTTTCACGGAACCTGGGAACCCTAACTAGGGCTGGAGCTGGATGGAACGCTGGATGACAGCAAGACCTTGGGACTTGGGAGAGCCGATTGGTGCCATCAGACAAGGATCCTAAAGACCGTGCTCTGACAAAGAATCCAAGCACCAGTATTGTTCGATCATCTGTACCCCGTGCCATCTCAATCCAGAGACCAGCAACACCAAACAAGTCGAGCCGCCCACCAAGCCGACAATCACCTTCAACTCCGCCATCAAAGGCCCCATCAACCTCAGGAAAGACCAGGCCAGCAAGTCCAAGTGGCAATTATAGACCTGAGGAGCATCACAAGCATACGCTCTGAGCGCCCAAGGAGGCAGAGCACAGGTGGAGGCTCGGTCCGGGATGATGCAAGCCTGACGAGCACTCCACCTCTCCCCAGTTACATGCAGTCGACAGAGTCTGCAAGGGCGAAGTCCCGGTCTGAGAAGCTTGAGGTTCCTGAGAGAGCACCTCTGGTCCACTCCGTTGTTAAGAAGCGCCCGTCGTTCCCCGTCGTCGATAAACCAAGTGTTGTGCCGACAGATAAGCCGAAGGAAAGAGTGAGACGCCATTCAGACCCTCCGAAGGTCGATCCTGCAACGCTGAAGGATGTCCCTGCTGCCTGATCAGGCCGTATGATTGTTAGGTTTTGTGCTCTTTTAACTCCGTGATGTATTATCTGAGTTAGGTTGTTTTACTCGTGTCATGTATGATCTGTCTGGGTTGATTTGAGATAATTCTAACTGTGTTTACAGACAATGCGTGATACTAAATGTATGTGTGGTTGGTTTTCAATGTACGGATATGACAGTGTTTGACTTGACTTTGTTAAGGTGCGAATACTACAGCACATCTATCAAATTCCTAAGAGCCGTTATCGTTGCCATATCTCAAGGGTCTTTATTTTTTTTTAAAAGATGCTATGCGCACGGATAGCAATCGAGGCTCTTCACCAGTTTGGCAAGACGGCAAGGGAGATTTTTTTTTAAAAAAGCCCCAAAAAAATTAAACAATGAAAATATAAGAAAACAAAAAGGAAATAAAAATAAAAAGCAAGGAAAGATAACAAAAAATAAAATAAATAGAAAAAGCAAATAAAAATTAATAGAGTAAATTAAAATATAGTAAAAGAATAAAGAAAATAAAAAGAATGACAAAAGTACAAAAAATAAAAGAAAAGTAAAATAAATGAATGAAAGAAAAGAAAAAAAAAGAAGAAAAAGGAAAACAGAAAATTAAAAAATGAAAATAGAAAATGGAAACAAAAAGAATAATAAATAACCAAAAAAAGAAAAAAGAAAGGAAAGAAGAAAAAGAAATAGAAGAAAAGAAACAAAGAATAAAAAAGGAATAAAAGATGGAAAGAAAGAAAACGAAAAAGATATAGTAGAATGGAATGAAAAAGAAAAAGAAAAAAAGAAATTGAAAAAGAAAAAGAACGTAACGGAGCGAATCAGCGTCGGCATCAAATACGCGCGCTCTACCTGGGCTAGCGCTGGGTCGTCACCAGCTGCTGTGGGCCGAAATCGCGAGCGCGGAGAGGGGGGTCGGCACGCGGCTTTGGTCCGACCGTTCGGCAGGCTTCAAGCCAGCTGGCTGGCTGGTTCTCGCCCTCACGAAATCACTGTTCATGTCCTGCCAGAATATTATTTTTCTCTCACAACAATCAATCGGAATAATATTTTTCAGTCCTGCCGAACAGGCCCAGGCTTGTTTCCGTCTTCGGTTGGGCTGGGAATAATCGGAAGCAAAAAAAAAAAAATCCACGTTATCTCAACTTTCACGAAAGTCCGCTGTTCTTCCTGCACTTCAAACCGAGCAAAACATCTCTCTCAACTTTTAAAACCGTTCCCTATTATAAGCAGATTTAGACGTGATTTTGTCTTTTTATTTTTTATTTATTTTAGCTGAATCTTAAAAAAATCATAGTAAATCATAAAAATCATAAAATAAATAATTTAATTTGGTTGGACTATACATGAGTAGATCTACACAGTGAACATATAATATGATATGCCTTAGTACAAAGTATTTGTTGTGGCTTTAGATCTATACTTTTATGTAATTAGTTAAAATAATTCATAGCTGCGTTTTTCTATGGTTCAGTTGTGATGAAATTTTTATGGTGGTTCAACTATTGTATGATTGAACTGTAGTAAATATTTCATACTCATTAGATTATGTACAAATTAGTTATAGATTTATTTATATTTAACAAGCATAAATACAAATAAAATCTATAACTAAGTTATGCATGATCCACGTAACCTTGCTCGGCAGTTCACCAAGGGGTAGCCCGAGGTGGTAGATTTGTCGTAGAGGTGAGCGAGATGAGGAGCGAGATGGTAACAGAGACACAAGACACAAGATTTATACAGGTTCAGGCCGTCAGCGTAACGTAAAACCCTACGTCATGTGCTATGTTTATTTTGTATTGATTGGATATGAGATTAAGATGTAGATGCCGACTAGGGGACCCCTGCCCCTCATTATATATTCTAGAGGGTATGGTTACAAGAATAATATCCAATTTGGTACAATACAATATCTTCTTGTAGCCTTACGGGGCACGCCGACCTGTGTCGTGCACCGCACGCCGTGATTTTGTGGGCTACGCCGCCTCCGGTGGTGCGGCCCATGTAGTCTGCCGTGGGTACCGAGGGTCAGACCCCCACAGCTAGTCCCCGAGCGTCTTGGATCCGCATGGTGACGCCGTCTTGATCAAGTCCGAGCTGTTTGTTGCGAAGCCGACCTCTTTAAGTCGACGAACCGATCGGTGAATGTGAAAGCCGACCAGCTGGACTAGTGACTTTGAGCGGTGAAGGCGCCTGCCGAGCTGTCCAAACACCCAGATGAGCTGTGAAGATGCATGCCGAGCTGTTTGACTATCCGGCATATCTCGAAATTGATCCAAGTAAGGTTCATCAGTAGAATGTAAGGGGCTTAAGATAAAAATTTAAGAAATCTTCATCGATGAAGTGTAGCCACTTAGACTCCGAGTGTAAGTCAGAAGAAAAGCACTACATTCACCGCCAGGTGAAGTATAGCCACTTAGTCCCCGAGCCTACTAGAAGATGAAGAATAAATCTTGTAGCAGGGTCAAAGAAAAGCCTTAAAAGCTTGCCAACGTCATCTGCCATGTGCGTATCAAGATCCTCGATGTGTTGCCCAAGATCAGCACCCTCATCCGAACAGCATGGAGAACCTTCACAGCACACCGATGAGACGTAGCAAGATCCACGAAGAACCCGAATGCTAAGGAGTCACAGCGAACTGGTGAGTCCCCAGCGTAGCTGATGAAGTGACGAACAATCCGAACGTCAGGGAATCCCCAGCTTAGCTGGAGAGCCCCGAACGTAGCTGACGACGAAGCGATGAATAATCCGACCACCGGAGAGTCCCCAGCGTAGTTGACGAGCTCTCAGCGTGACGACAAAGCGAGGAACAATCCTGACGCTAGGGAGTCCCCAGCGTAGCTGGCGAGCTCCCAACGTGACGATGAAGCGATGAACACTCCGGACGTCAGGGAGTCCCTAGCGTAGCTGGCCAGCATGACGATGAAGCGATGAACACTCCGGACACCGGGGAGTCCCCAGCGTAGTTGTTGGTTGACGGTGAAATCCGTCTGCCGGGTGGTGCACCCACCCGATCGACGATCCTCTTGTCCCTTCTGACTGATCCACTCCCCGAGCGTAAAAGATGAGTTCGGCAACCGATTCAGGATTCAGGCCCCTGTAATAAAAATATGGAGAACGGGTAGTACATAATATAAAAATAAAATATATGAGCTCGGCGATGGAGACAGCATATCGGAGTAAATAAACATTGTGTTTATTTGGAGTTTATTCATATTTTAAATATAAAAACTTTTCTTGCAGTTGGTTCGTCATAGCGTCACCAGCCTCGACTAGCCCAAACTCTAAAGCGCGAAGTGGCCGACACCCGTGTACTCGTAAGAGAGAGAGCGTCGCCAAGAAGCCGCTGCTGACTGTCCATAACGCAGAGCGTGGCTCGTGCACATGTAGGAGCGAAGTCGAGGATATGGCCGCTTCTGGGTAACACGGATGAGAACGTGACTGATCGGGGAGTTGCATGGCGAAATTGTATGTTATCTTTTAGATGGTATACATGCAGGAAAAAAATCTTTTGGAGATAATAATGGAGAAAACAGCATGGAAAAATTTCATAGAGATATATGAAGTTTGAAGAATATTTTAAAAAAATATTAAAGAGTGACTTAGCTTTGACGACCGAGTGGAGTAGTCGGTGTGTCGCGGTGTCTAAGAAGACAGCTCGGACGAGTGCCGGAAGTCATAGTTGACCGGCCGCATCCAACTGTGCAGATGAGGCGCAGTTGTCGACGTCGATCTCGTTGATTGCGAAGGCGAACGTGAGTAGTTCCTGGGGCGAAGCGCATGGCCTCGACGCCCGCTGGTGTAGACTTGGATAAAGACGGCTTACATGTAGGAGCCATATTCTTTGTTTGCTTCTCGTCCAGGTGTTTGGGCATTTGGGGGTGTAGCATGTCGTGCATGCATGCCCCGGTATATACTAGCTGCGCCTTGATTATTGCATGGCTTGTAGATCGGACGTGGTATGGCTCGGACGGGAGCCCTCTTGTAGTCGCTGGGTTGTAGTTGCGGAGCTGTGTCGTGTTGCCGCCGATCAGGTTGATGAAGAACAGGTTGATGAAGAAATCCGTTGCGGTCAAATGGTTTGATCTCGAGTTGGAGACCTAGAGTTGGAGCAACAAATCCGTACGAGTGTGTGTGTGCGGCTCACGCACATACATGGATACACGTACGAATCCTATGCAAATCCACGTAGTCTGTAGCAGATGCGCCTTGTTGATAGGTTTGCTGGAGTAGGAGTCCCATGCCTGTGCGGCTCGTAAGCCTGGAGGTCGGCGGCTCCACTTGAGTTGTCTTGACCTGATCGATCAGGTGATGCAGAGCTTGTGTTGGGGACGGAGGCGATGGTGAGGTCCGTGCCATCGACGAGACTAACAGAGCCCAGTGCCTCCGTGGATGGCGACGAGGTTGGCGGAGTCGGTGGAGTCGATGGAGACTATCTGGACGTGTACGATGAAGGAATTCTCGTACAGAATCGAACATCGATTCCGCCGAGAACGTCACGCTGATCTTGAAGTACGTCATAGATCAAACGCACATCTCTACATGACACGACAACTGTTGACTAAACTTGCTCGGTAGTCCACCAAGGGATAACCCAATGTGGTAGATTTGTCGTAGAGGTGAGCAAGATCAGGAGCGAGATGGTAACAGAGACACAAGACACGAGATTTATACAGGTTCAGGCCGTCAGCGTGACGTAAAACCCTACGTCATGTGTTCTGTTTATTTTGTATTGATTGAATATGAGATTGAGATGTAGATGTCGACTAAAGGACCCCTGCTCCTCCTTATATATTCTAGGGGGTATAGTTACAAGGAGAATATCCTATTTGGTACAATACAATATCTTCTTATAGCATTGCGGGGCACGCCGACCTGTGCCGTGCGCCGCACGCCGTGATTTTGTGGGCTGCGCCGCCTCCGGTGGCGTGGCCCATGTAGTCCGCCATGGGTACGTAAAACCCTACATCATGTGCTCTGTTTATTTTGTA